CGATGGTAGCTAACCTTTAAATAAAAATTAGATGATAAAACATCTAAAATTTCCAAAACTTCCTCATAAAATAAAATGAAAGTAGTAGTGAAATGAGAAGAAATTGGATCTTTATTGTAGCATAAAAAGATATTATTAAAGGAATTACGTAAAGGAGTTAAATCAACATATGGTTTTGAATCAACCCAATGATAAAGACATATAATATTTGGTAGTTGTAAAATAGTTGCATTCTTGTCAACCGATGAAAAATCCACCTCTGGCAATATTATGTCTTTTCCTTTAGACGCTATTACATTCAATAACGGCAATTCAAATTCTGGAATTGTACTATCGAAATGACCTTGCTGCTTGGACATTTCTATGTCAGGTAATTTAGTGTATACTGAAGTCAATTCTACGTCTGAAAAAATTATATCCTCTTTGCTTTCTCCTTTGGGATATTTTAGATTTAGTGATGGTAGTTCAACGTCAGGTAATTTAACATCTATTGATTGCAATTCAACGTCTGGTAAACTAATGTCCTTATGAGTCATTTTTATGTCCAATTCAGGTAATTCTACATTCGGAATTTGTACATCTTGTGCCTGAAGACCTTCGAAGGAGTCTCTCTCCTTTTCCAAAAATATAGATAATTCTGGCATGGACACTAAATCTTTTTCCGGGAAATTACCTACTACACCTTTTTTTGATTTACCCATTAGTTTTCCAATAAATGACGTCGATTTCTTCATTCCAATATCCACATACGACGTTTGCAGATCTTTTGTTTCTAAGCCTACAGAAATAAATCCATCCTTTTGGCTTTTGTCAGCTGGTTTGCTTTTTCTTTTAGGAGGTTTTACATTCAAGGTTGGCAATTCAACTTCAGGAATGGTAATGTCTACTTTGCCTTCTACAATAGGAGATTTTACATTAAGCGATCGTAGTTCAATATCTGGTAAATTGACGTCTACTGATGGTAAAACATCCTCTGGCAATTTCGCAGTTAATTTGCATTCTACATTGGGAGATTTTACATTTTGTAATGGTAGTTCAACGTCAGGTAATTTAACGTCTACAGATGGCAATTCCACTCCTGGCAATTTTGCAGTTAGCTTGCCTTGTCCTTTAGTAGATTTTATAATTAGTGATGGTGGTTCAACGTCAGGTAATTTGACGTCTACAGATGGCAATTCAACCTCTGGCAATTTCGCAGTTAGCTTGCCTCGTCCTTTAGGAGATTTTATAATTAGTGATGGTGGTTCAACGTCAGGTAATTTGACGTCTACAGATGGCAATTCAACCTCTGGTAATTTTGCAGTTAGCTTGCCTTGTCCTTTAGGAGATTTTATAATTAGTGATGGTATTTCAACATCTGGTAAATTGACGTCAACTGATGGTAAAACATCCTCTGGCAATTTCGCAGTTAATTTGCCTTCTACATTGGGAGATTTTACATTTAGTAATGGTAGTTCAACGTCAGGTAATTTAACATCTATTGATTGCAATTCAACGTCTGGTAAACTAATGTCCTTATGAGTCATTTTTATGTCCAATTCAGGTAATTCTACATTCGGAATTTGTACATCTTGTGCCTGAAGACCTTCGAAGGAGTCTCTCTCCTTTTCCAAAAATATAGATAATTCTGGCATGGACACTAAATCTTTTTCCGGGAAATTACCTACTACACCTTTTTTTGATTTACCCATTAGTTTTCCAATAAATGACGTCGATTTCTTCATTCCAATATCCACATACGACGTTTGCAGATCTTTTGTTTCTAAGCCTACAGAAATAAATCCATCCTTTTGGCTTTTGTCAGCTGGTTTGCTTTTTCTTTTAGGAGGTTTTACATTCAAGGTTGGCAATTCAACTTCAGGAATGGTAATGTCTACTTTGCCTTCTACAATAGGAGATTTTACATTAAGCGATCGTAGTTCAATATCTGGTAAATTGACGTCTACTGATGGTAAAACATCCTCTGGCAATTTCGCAGTTAATTTGCATTCTACATTGGGAGATTTTACATTTTGTAATGGTAGTTCAACGTCAGGTAATTTAACGTCTACAGATGGCAATTCCACTCCTGGCAATTTTGCAGTTAGCTTGCCTTGTCCTTTAGTAGATTTTATAATTAGTGATGGTGGTTCAACGTCAGGTAATTTGACGTCTACAGATGGCAATTCAACCTCTGGCAATTTCGCAGTTAGCTTGCCTCGTCCTTTAGGAGATTTTATAATTAGTGATGGTGGTTCAACGTCGGGTAATTTGACGTCTACAGATGGCAATTCAACCTCTGGTAATTTTACAGTTAGCTTGCCTTGTCCTTTGGTAGATTTTACATTTAGTGATGGTAATTCAACGTCAGGCAATTTGACGTCTATTGATG